CAGGATTCATTGGAGTTATATTACAATTCTTATATTAGGGGCACATCCGACGGTAATAATAGTAAATCAGAATGACATAAATCATTCCTAAAGATGCAACAGATTATGAGGAGAGTCTTGATAATTTGAATCCATGAGATATGCCTTTGCATAAATTGCCATATTTGTTTCCGACGGCTCTCCAACATTGGTGATTTTATTTTGTAATTGATTGAAGATTGTTCTTTACTCTTGATTGTTATCAATCTCATCAAGCAATATCTAAGTATCTTCTGGTTATTTTAATGACAATAAAATATTTTTATTGCCAATGAGAGGCTGATACTCATTATATGGTATTGAATTAACTTTTTTTTTGGTTTCTGCTTGTTTTTTCAGGAGCACAAATTTTGTGGAGAGAAATATGTTACAAATACATATTTTAAGAAACATGATAGTTTGATAGATTCACAATTTGAAGAATTTATAGCAAACAAAATTCCACTAGGTTTGTGCAAAGTGCTTCTAGATGAACGCTATTTCATGCCCAGACTGTTGGCAGTGCGTCGAAATTTAATTGGCGAAGGCTCTCATCGTCAACTTTCTTCATCTATCAGAATCAAAATGCAAGGAGAGTCAATATCTAAGCTTCCTGCTCAGTCTTGTCAAATTATAATCGTCGAAAAACTGCCCTCTGGAGTCTTTGCAGATCCCTTTGAGCTGCAACATCTTCTCCATCGTGGTGGTAATAAGTAATAACCTTCTCAGATTTTAGAGGAATTTGGTTGTCCATCCTTGCGGTTTAATAGGTTTGCTTCATCTGTTACAGTTTTCACAGATGTAACTGTTCTTGGCGACACAAATTTAGAGCTGCCTTCATTTCGGTCAAATCGATCAGTTGTTGAAATTCACTTGGATATGGGTTATAATATGTCATCAGGAGGCAAGGATGAACTGGAAGTCAACCTCAGGCTTCCACTGCATGCACGATATGCGGTTAGTGATTCGAATGCCTTTCAGTTATCAAAAACAAGGGCAAGATTTCATGTTTTGTAAATATATAGTCAATCACCATTAGACGATCTAATCTTTTGTTTGTGGCAAAACCTCGTCAGCTATAATTTTTACTACATACTGGTTGTGGTTTATGCAGTCTTTTCCTTGCTGTCTTCTCTTTTCATTCTTATGCTAGTGGACATTAAATATACACTTTTAAGTCTCTGACTCAAGTCGTTCATTCTTTCCTTTTTGCTTTGCAGCCACTAGGACATGGCTTTTCAAAAGTTGAATTTGTGCAACCTGATTTATTCATGCGTTGTGGCTTTGAAGGAAAGGCGTTCAACGGGAGCTGTTTATTTATGCCAACCAATGATGATGTCGATTACAAAGCCAGCCCTATTGTATGGGAGGTACCTTGTGGTATTAAGAAACATGCAGGAGTCGTATCTGCTGTAACGTTTCTCTCTGCTATTGTGTCAGCTCTTCTAATTGTCTCGACGTCTATTTATCATTCACATAACACGATTTTTCAATGAATTGAAACATTTCTAAACTTTTTTATTTTTTATTTTTTTGTCTGAATGATCTTAAGTTATTAACATATGCATTAACTTTTTCGATGTAGTATTTGGATTAAAGATAAATTTGCATGGAATTATTAGGTAAAATTTGAGATAAATACATTGGTGTACTGTTTTTTGCTTGTATAGAATTTAGAATTTTGAACTGGAATTGGAAGAAACCAATTCAAATAGAGTCATAATGAACCCAGAAGTAAATGAGAAATTTGAAAAAGACTAAAATGAGATGTGTTTGGGGGGTGGGATTTAACACAGATTAGAAAAACTTTAGTAGGTGGCTTTGGGCAATTTCTTTTAGGGTGTCGAGGGGGAAGGGATGTAGAATTCATTTAGAAATATCGTGTAAGATTATTAACATACAATACATAACCTTGGAGGTAGAAAAGGGTGGACGAGTTCGTGTTTTGAGGGCTTGTTTGGTAAGACAGAATCTCCAGTAATTTACATTATTATTGAAGATAAATAAATCAAAAAAATCTTGCTTATACTAGTACTCAGTTGTTGAGTCAGAACAAATGTGTATCAAACGTACCCTGAGGGCACACAACATATCATTTGGCTGACATACTATTTTTGTCTACATATTTTGGGAAATTCTTTAGTACCACTCATCTATCCTAAAATTTTAGGAATTCATTGAGAGCTATAATAGATTCATAGACCGGGTCGATCCGTTTTAAATTTAAAAATTTTCCATAGGGTCTTTTATTTCAATCTATTTATAAACTAGAATTTCAAAATTCTTTGCCGTTTTAGCAATAACTTTTGATTCAACTGTTATTTCGAACAACTTTAAAGTATCTTATTAGACTCTTGTTTGATTTTCATTATTTTCGAAATATATCTTTTTTCTTTTCAATTACACATTCTTCAATAAAATAATATTAAACGTAAATCCAAAAATTCTCATTATATTTTAGCTATATATTTTTCAACTATATATTTTTCATTAATCTACTATTTCAAAATGCACTTTTAGTCAACATTGGTTATGGGATTCATAGGGTAGACTTCCAAGACGTGTCCAAATGGTAACCAGATATGGTCTTTTGAAGAATGATGATATCTTATGGTTAATGAAAAATTGTACAGGACTCGGTAATTCGATCCGATTGCAAAACGAATACACGCTCATACACAATGCAGTAGCATAATTTTCAAGCTATTCGAAGATGAATTTTGCTCCAAGTACAGGAGCAAAATTCACAGGGGCCTGCCAGGCCACTCACACTGGCGGGCCCCACATGTTAAAAAAAAATAAAAAAATACACCCCCTCATATACAGTGAGTGACCTGGCAGTGAACCACCCCCCGTCCTGTAGGTGTAGCATCACTGATTCTAAGATAAATCGAATAGATTTGCAGCTTTTTACAACAACATACCTTGAAACGACAAAAAGGATGAATGACATTCAAGAAACAGTTTTCTTTTTTTAAGGTCAGTAACAGTCGAGACTTACCTAAAAGAGTTGCTGTTCACAAAGACTAAAATTTCATTGCAAAATATTAAGGAGATCCAAACCACAATTCACCTTTATTGACACTTGCCATGACATGACTATTGACACATCTAGAAATTGGAACACCAATTTACAAATAGAACACGCAACTCTCCCCACGCTGCAAATAATTCAGATTAACTTTATAGTAAACCATGTCAACACACTTTAAAAGACGGAGATACACTGTAAAACGACTTGAAGCCACAAAGATCAACAAAAAATTTAAAAAAATATATATAAAGATTTCTTAACCATCTCCTTGACTCTCTTTGACTGCATTTGAAAGCTCAACTGACTAGGCTGCAAGTACTATAATCACTATGAGAAGCACTATGCCAAATATCACCAGAAGTAAGCAAGTCTGCAAGAAACACGGATGATGTTAATCTTTATTTATTGTATCTGTTCACAGAAACAATTGTATTTAATGGAGTTGATGTACAAGTGTACCCATGGAAAATGGAAACAAAACAACTTCAAATCCCTATTACCTTGTTCCTAGTAAAAATGACATTACCCATAATTGCATCTGAAAATAGAGTACAGATAGTGCGTGTATGAGGGAGAGGGTAATGATGGGTGAGGGGGGAACACATTAAAAGGATGGGGAAGAATGAGGGCTGTGAGTTTGAACCCAATTAAACATTTCCAAAGTTTTCCGAAGCCTTCACTGCGGAAAATGAACTGTCTCCAAGACAATGAATACTTTCCTTATTATTGTTAACAGGCTGTTAACAAGATTGAAGAAGGTTACGTCGAAGATTACAAGGATATTCTCACGTATATATTTGTACCATACATATAATTACCATATTTAGATTGTAGAATGTAACTATAAAATTGGAGGCATCTCTAATGGAAATTCATTCAGCTAAAATTATTTACAATTATTATCCTCTGTTACTTTTTCCTCACATCACATACCATAATAGACGTGATCGTTCACTTATTTTTCTTGGATCCTGGATTCAATTGTAGTATTGTGCGGCAAATGCAATTTGACACAAATGTATTTTGACCCTAAAATAAAGCAACCAATAACATGCCTTTGGTCATCAATAATATATCTTCACATATATGAGTAAATCATAGAATTTGAGCCAATAACAAAATGAAATTCATTTGAAGGAGTTCTCTAGAACCCAGTAGGCCTCAGGACACAATAGAACACAGGATATAGAAAGGGTCAAAAACATTGATAGTCACTCGACTTATAATGAAGGTTCTTGTTAATCACCAAACCTTATTTTGATTTTAAGTGGTCATTGAAGTTTCTTTTTGTTTCACTTTGGACAGTTGGTTAAAATCCGTTGGTTTTTCATGGAATATGTGGAGTGGCATCAACGTTGAAGGCTTCTTTGTCGGATATTCGGCTAAAAAACAGTGACTTAATGACGTAGTGGAAGATTATAGGAAAGATGAAAAACCTCACAAATATGAGATAAACTCACGAAAGTTTTTATTCAATTCAATAATGTCTGGCTCGAAGGGCTTACAATGGTTTAAATAGCAAAACCCTAGCAAATTTCGGAAAATAAATAATAAAAATAAAAAAAATGATATTTTTCCATAAATGGAAAAATTCGANTGTAATATAACTCCAATGAATCCTGGACAATAAATAGAGCCATTTATTGGAAGTACAAAATTCATTTGGAATACTAAAACCATAAGCTAACACAAGGAAAGCTTCATAGTCATGAGATAATTCACAGTTAATACCAAAAATGACCAACTAAAAGAAGAGACTAACAAACCAGCAAAATTGTCCACTCACCTCATCAGTAGTAGGCATAGCATTACTATTCATGACAAGAAATATCAATCCAAATCCTATTGCCAAATACAATTGTACTTGAAAATGTTGAACTTCCATGGCATATCTGTACGAGGGAAAAGAAATTCTTCTGATTTAAATGAGATCACATAATGCTGATATAAAGTAATTCCTTAATTGTTGAAAAATACCCATGACTTCCCTTAATTGTTCTTGATTGGGTAACCAGAATAAACCGTAAGTTAAAGCATTCTGGGAAAAAGATGATCACACCACAAATGCATTATCAACCACACATTACAAATTTCAAAATAGACTCATAAGTATGCAGACAGAGACACTAAGATTGGGCTATGTTCACTAAAAGCAAGTTACGGAAGCATTTATTAACGGTTTAAATTATAAATATATAAAAATGAGTGGTGGATAAGTGGTTAGTACATGGAAGAGGGTAAATAGTGGCTTGAGTATTTATAAATAGTTTACAAACATGAGCTGAACACAGGCTAATTGTTATATGGTACAGATCAGGGAATTTGACAGTCATGACACAATTAATTATTCTTTGATAGCAGAATAATGACAGTCTATTCAAAAGACAGTGGTATATTGTATCAATCCTATTTCAAAATCGTCTTGGCCGCATGACCATTCAAGACATCCTTACATGTAGTGAATGCACAGCATGTCCAGTGTTTTAACAGCACCGCCTCCGTTAAAGGATGAGCGGACACTTCCAATACATTAAAAAGAAAATCCACACACAAACAAATAGCCAAGCAGGAGGCTGATAGCATTTTATTCAGTCATCCAACAGCGGTTCTAGTGTTCACAATATGCCATCATGTTTGATTATTTTTGCTTGCAATTAATTAACTATTCATTTGACCAATTGTATTTAGGAGGAAACGGAAAAAAGGGTCCAAGGGAAAAAGATGAAATGATGTCTAGTTATTTCATATGCACAAAGTTATCAAAGAATAATTGATTGGAAGGGATAAAGAAACAAAACTAGCTTATGGTGAGCCATGGATCAAACTATTCATGCACAGCATGGTTCATTAATCCTTTGCACCCAAGGCTGCTAATTCTGGTGATTAAACAATTGTTAATAATTCTGCGTTAAGCAACTTCACCTTCTAGATTCCACGAGAAGAGCTCGCTGTTCTGGACTCTTATCTGCACTTACATCTATCTCATTATCTACATAGCTGCAGAGAGTAGTAGTTTGAAAAGATAAGCAACAGAAAAACCAAGCTTAGAAAAAAATTAGACAATATCATATAAATTATATATATTGCACAAGTAATGGTGAGCAGATAACTGCCGTTAATTGCTCACGAGTTTCTTCAAATTGACAGCATTTGTAGTACATTGAAAAATCTTAAACATTGGAACTTCTGACAGTAACATATAGCCATGAATATTGACTACCTCGAAGGAAGAACTGCTTGGGGAACAAAAGGAGTATATGCTGTCTCCCTCTCAGCTGCAAGCCGCTGCCCCTTCTGGAACTCCTTTAAAACTGCTTGAAAATCTTTTGCAAGTTTAGCATCTGTTATTTTCTTGCTTGCCTGTCAAAATGAGAATAATCAGGTCGATTATAATTAGTGATTGAGGAAGAGAAAACTTCAACGCTCATATTTATCACTCCACAAGTGTCGAGTAACTAAAAACTTTCGCTTCCAATCATTTTGTTTGATATAGTTTGAACATCAACAGAAACTCATATACCTCAAATATAATAAAAAAGACATAACAGTCCTAGCAACCCGTGATAAGCTACAAATAAATAGGCATTGACGAGAAAGAAAACATTATACGACAGGTGGGGGAGCTTTGCTGCCACATTAATGGTGAGCAAGGAAGCAAACTTACACTGACTTCAACACGATGATCTGTTTCACTAGCTTGCTTAAGTTTAGCTGAAGTATCCTTCACCAGTTGTCCAATATGTAGCCTAGTTTTATGCCTGCAGTTGAGAAAAACCA